CTCGTTGGTCGCATGCTCCAAAAAGGGAATTGGCCGCCGTTCTTCTGAGCTTTCCTTTAACCGTGTGTATCTGAAGTCCATCCCATGTAACATGACTTTCAATAAAGACCATTCTTGCTGCGTGTTTACAGGTGTTTTCTCCTTTTTTTTTCTCCCCAAAAAGGAAAACCAGCGCCACTTTTAACAAACGTGACCTTCAAAATAAAAGCACAAAAAACTTTAACATAAAATAAAATAACATAAAATAATGTACAGCTTAAACAATTTATAATGATGACATGGACCTTGACAAGATAAAGAAATAATCTAAATGATATAAACAATGTCATCATGCCAACAGCTACACTATACGTGTGTTTTTGTCATATGCCAGATAATTTATACACTTCTTGAAAATAACGGATTTGTTTATTTTCATTATATTTCCAAATAATGACACATAATGAAATAAATAAGCTATAGCCAGTTTAAGTCAATAGTATGACAGTGACAAATTAAATATAATATGTATGTAACAAAAAGAGAGTTCCGGAGGTGAAACGTGGTTCTAGGATGATAAAGCTACAATTTCCTTAAGGCTTGCCTGGTCCAGCTACTCATTTAACACTTTTTGTTCTTGTAAAACCAATTTATACAAGTTTAGATTTTCCGAGACGCTCACTTCCGGTCTTGTTCTGCTAACTGCGGCCACCTTGACACATCTTCCTGCAGGTAGAAACAGCCTGTGTGTTTGGTGTAATTACGCTGGAAATGACAGGAACACACTGGATCTAACAGACTAATTATCCCCCCGTCTAAAAACTGAGATGAGACATGAAACCTTTGTATTAGTAGTAGATTAACTCCCGCATTATTCCGAAAGAGGACCGAAACCCCGGGCGGGCAGTGTTTGTGGCTGAGTTCAGCTGGAAGCAGGCGACCCCTGGTGGCAGCCGGAGGAACGGCCTCAAAGTGAACTCCATCGTGCCCAATTCGCTGTAATAGAAATACAAATTTCAGTATTTTCAAAAGGAATATATGTAAAAAGATCAAGAAAATTAGGCACAACAATTCTAATTTTCAGATATCAGTTTTTCACAACATAAAGCTTTTTTCACCAATACCTACAGTAAATAATATAAATATATAAACAGTGCAAACAACTTCCAGTGACAAGATGCTGTAAACTTTATATTCATTATTTCTATTATAGAAATAATAGTGAAGTTTTACTTTAGTGAAAGAGCTCCCGCCAGTCATACTCCAGGACCATGCATTTGTATATATCATCATCTAACCCGCACAGATTGAGGCCTGCAGAGAAGCTACCTGGTAGGCCTGTTTACACACAGCTCAAATCACACAAATAAATAAATTAAAAGTGCAACTGCTGGCTTTTTTCTGACAGAGAAAAATCAGATGTTTTGTTCATTCTGTTTGCACACTTTTGCACCTTTATTAGAAAAGCAATGGAGTAACTGTGGCACTTAAACTACAAGGAGTAGGGGAAGGAGATATCAAGAAGATGCAAACACTGATATAAAATGCTGTTTTATGGTTTAAGAGACATCATCAGTTTAGAAGTGAGTGATAACTCAGTGCAAAACTAGCTGCATTTACAGAAACCTACAGAAATACAGCAGCCATTATGGGTGATGTGCAGAGATGTAGAAACTACAGAAGGCTGATGCTGATGAAGTTATGGGAACTTAAGGTAACACGACAGGTGATGATCAGTGACCAGTAGTATGTCTTCGTTTCATGATAAAGGCACTACACACATGATGTTTGCTTTAAGAGTATTAATGCAGAAGTACAGAGAAGGTCAGTAGGAGTTGCACTCTGTCTTTGTGGATCTAGAGAAATCATGTGATAGGGTCCCAAGAGTCGATCTGTGGTGCTGTATGAAGAAGTCAAGTGTGACAAGGAAGAACAGTATGTGAGGATGGTGCAGTACATGTTTGAGGGCAGTGAAACACCAATGAGGTGTAGAAG